ACAGTCGGATATTCTATATACTATTATGATCAAAGCAATTCTTAACTAAAATCAGATGCCACCATATCCATCCATATCTATCATCTCTATATACATAATAATTTTTTATTTTAAATATAAAACTATTATCTGTCCAGGTTTCATTTAATAGAACTGTATCTGGTTTGATTATCATTAATAAATATATTTAAATTATCATAATTTGCTTTAAGACTTCTGATGTTCCACTGCATAAGTGTGAAACATCCGTGTGCTATATTAAACTTGATTAACTTGAGTCATCATTTCCTATGGATGAATCAACATTTTCTGTTTTTAATTTTGTGATAAAATTAGGAACATGTTCTCTATCTGTTTTGTTTAATTTAGTAGCCATATTCATTATAGAAGAGGTTAACCTGGTACGGACATGTCAGAAGAGCAGACCAAAATCGGTGGATAAATAGAATAACAGAGTGGAGCCCGATAGGAAGGAGAAAGAGAGGCCAGACCCCGAAGATCTTTCAGAGATGAAGTGGACGAAGTAATGAGAAGAAGAAACCTACAGAAAGGGGACTGGCTAAACAGGAAAAATTGGAAGAGACTAAGAGTCATCCCTTCCAGGGGTAGTTACATTCCATTTATTATTGTTATAATTTGTGTTACTAAAAATATGTGTTTTCTCTGGATGTACTTTTCCATTAGGATTTAATAAAAATTCATTATGTTCTGAATTTCTTTTCTTTGCGCTCTGATCTGGGGCTGGTCTTTGCTTTGACTGCAACACTATATGTATTTGTCTAAACTTGATTGGCTACATACGCTGTTCTACGTGACTTTACGGGTATGTCTATATCTGAATTTTCCTTAGCTGGCAAGCTGGGAAAATCCAATGGGTTTCCACATTGAATTTATTATTATTTTTAACCTTAGGTATCTTCTCTATTGCCTCAAAGAAAGATATATTTTCTAGAGACATCATCTCACTTATTTTTTTTTGTCTGATATACTCTGGACATTGTCTACTTGTACTATTGTTATTTTCACTATCACAATGTACACATTTAATAATGCATATTTGATTAAAATCGTTCATTTCCGCACAATTAATACATTTGCTATTTTTTGTTCTACATAATTTTTTTGTATGTCCATAATTCAAGCATTTGTAGCACTGAATCACTGGCATATTATAAGGCAGAACCCTATGCTCTATTCCACAAATTATAACACCTCTTGGCAAAGATGTCGCAGTGAAAGGTATAGCAAACAGTTCCAGTTGGAACTAAATTTACCACCTCACCACGATCTCCCCTTGCAGGTGTTTTCCTCGCTTCCTTGACTATTACTAAATGTATCATTAATAATCTTATCTGGCTTTACTTTTATTTTAAATCTCTTCACATTTATAATTGTACAGTTTTTTAGTAATTGGTTCTATTTTGAAGAAAGTTATTTGCTGCATTTCTGTTTTTAAATTCCACACTAATTCTATTTATCCACTTTTTGTGAGTCTTAAAGATATTCTTTAGTTGTAAATCAAAGATTTATCTTGCAATTATCATATTTATATTTTTTAACTCTTTAATTTCTTTCTCCACATCTTTCATTTCATTTTCGTTTAAAATTTCTGGGGGCTTCTCGCCCCAGACGAATCCCCCATTTTTTTAGTGTAACTCTTATTAAAGAAGGTAACTTACAAAATTTTCCAAATGTCAACTGTATAATTCAAGCTTAATGAATCAAAGGATACTTGAAAGTTTAAAACAAAAGCATGCAGTCACCTAACCTATCAAATCAAAAATTAATTATATATTATTTAACTTCCTTTTTTTTGCTTATACCTTCTATACCTTTAAGTAAGAAACTTCAGCTTCGGAAAACTGTTATTTGGTTGGTAATTTCACAATATTCTCTCAGAGTCAACAATATAGACTGTACTCTTCAAAGAAATTTTGACAAGTCAATACTACTCTAATTCAGCAGTACAGAGTAATTAACCATTTGTCTATCGGAATAATGTCTACTGCAAAAATTGAACAAATTGCATCCAAATTTAAGTCTAAACTAGAGATCTGAAATAAAACACAGCGGTTGTTTATTAGTATTTATTTTTAATAGATTCTTTCTAAATACACCATTATATTATATCTATTATAACAGTTATTATTTATATGATATTAACATTTTGATTGTTTGATATTTGTAAGAGATAAAACTATTTTTGTACTATTAATTAAACAAAACTTTAATTAAATCTAATATGGCACCAATGGCAATATCCTCTCTAAACACCACCATTTTATTAACACCTGGGTATATTCTTAATATTTTCAGTTAGTCCCCCAAATATATCTATAACATGCGTACCACAAGTATTTTTAACATAAAAATTGGGCTTACGTTTAAAAATTATATTTTTTTAAATTGTTAGGTTTAGACGAAATGAATTTATGTTTAATAATAATATTGACGTTTAAATTATTACTTCCAGGGAAAGTCACAATTGCAATTAACACTCTCAGTCACAACTCAATGCAATAAAACTAGCACTGTAATGGTCTCTCATTTTGAAACACTATTTTCACAGTGAATGTGTCAATTAAGTCCTGATTTTAAAGACATTTATATCCTTTGTACATTTTGAGTGGTCTATAATTGTTATATAATATTTCACGTTTGGACAAGTTTTTGATTGTACAATCAATCTTCGATCATGCATTCATTATCATGCAAATTATACTCTTTTAAGTATTCATTCTTTTAACGAAAAAATCTTTACATTATTACCTCTAGAATAAATGCTAGGAACATTAAATTAAATCATTTGTAAAAACCCAAACTAAAAAGACGAATAAAATTGATGTAAGAGGGACAACTGGTGAACAAAAAATTATTGGAACCGAAAGATGGCCAGATTCGCCATAAACCGGGATTGTATATAGATTAAGCATCTATAACAGATCTAAGAGGAGCTCCAATGAGGCATTCCCTGGTGTTTTGAGCATATATACTGATAATTTGGTATTTTTAGCAATACTAAAGAGGAATTACATGAAGAAAAACCAATAGATATTGAAAATGGTTCAAAATCTGCAGACTGCACTAGAGTTACTGCAAATAATGATAAAACACGGAAAAATCTCGCGACAAACATTTAAGTATTAAAATGTGACAATCTATTGATATTAAAAAAGGAAGAATATAACTTAAAATGACTATTTAAGGTCAAAATAACTGACTGTCAACGGTGAGAGGCAGGTATATTCCACCATGGACACAACTCTCTGGAGAAGTAAAAGAAGGAAAGTCAACCCTTTAATTACCTATAATATCTGTTAATAAAACTCCCCACATCTGCTATTATTAACGAGGAAGTGTTTAATAGATTTATTTGCCATTGATAGAGCGGTTACTGATACAGAGATTCATACAAATAACGATTAAAATATAATAGTTGCTACAATATTTTACCCTGATATCTATTTCTGAACTGTTTGACAATGTTAGTTTACAGGAGCGGTATATATATATATATATATATATATATAATAATATATATATATATATATCAGTTAAAATAAATATGAACTGTTAACACAGAGAAATTTAAAACATCTTTATTAACTTAACTTTTTTGACTAAACAGAAAAACGCAGAAAAAAAGCATATATAACCGAAATGAAACAATAAAAAGATGCTAAACGTATAACTCGACCTATAAAACTTCAGTTTGTGTAATTACTTCTTCCATATTAGTAAGTTTTTAGGGATGACCTGTACCGATCATTTTCCGAAGCTATGCAATGGAAAATTTTGAAGTTGTGACCGTATTATCTTTATAATACGTATATTTTTATTGTGTAGAGGTACATTGTGTCAAATCAAGACGTTTGGATACCTGCATTGTGAAAAAAATATTAACCAAGAAAACAATTTCATTTAGCTTCTAGCAATATCCCTTGCTGAAATCAAAGTTGTCAGTGAAGTCATTTAAAATTCAAAAACATTTTTTTAAGAGCGGCCTAAAATATTGTTGGGATAAATCAGTCATTTTGCCGCAGACTGCAGATAGTGAACCGGCAACGTGAACTGTTGGTTTCAGCTTCAGTTATCTACGCAGATCTAAAAATAATCTGATAGATATGTTTGAGAATTCAACAAGCATCGTTGTAGTGTAAAAGTGGTTCAAAATGATTAGAAATACATCTAAATTATTAGGTTTGTACAAAATCTGTGTTAAGTGATCTTCAGTAATACGTTCTGTTCTTCAAAAAATTTAAAAGAATGCTCCTATATAATAATATCATGTTTGTTCTATCCAATTTTAGACGTAGATCTGTCATTATCTCTTTCCTACGGACCTTTTAAGTGCTATTCTAATTCATCTTGATCATCTGTCAATATGCCTTCACTGACCTTTGGTAGCACAATCAATTACTTAGTGTACCAATATTAATGCTTGCAAACCTACTAAACAGAACCGAGTTATAGGTTTAGTAAGAAAGATGAGAAGTGAGACGATTTATTCAAAGATCAATCTACTCATACCTTATACCTGATAAATAATTTTGATCAGTAATTTATAATTTTTGTTTATATCTCATAACAAAAACGGGTCAAGGTACAGTAGAAACCTTTTTCTGAAAATTCAAAAAAATCTGTGAACGTTGCTAATATTTCAAATATTTCAAGCACTTCACCATGAACATAAAATACAACAATGATAAACGGCAAACCTGATACCAAGCAGCCTCAGGTTTACCACCCTACCATAAAATGAATAATGAAAAATAAATTGGGACAGGCACACTTAGTGTTATTTAAATATATACATATATAATATACTTCAGACAACTGGTTCTGAAGTAAAACAATTTATTAATCTTAAAAGTATATATATTATATTAAATAAAAAGGGACTAGGCGTTAGAAATTTTGTAACAGCTGTATTCGTTAAACTTTTCGGTCGATTTGTTGACGTAGTGATGGGAGAGATTGGGGGCATCCCGTGTTTCGTTTCAGACGATGTTGGGTTTGATGCCACTAGATGTTAGAATTTTGTTTAAGAAATTTACAATGGCTGCTGCTGGTTGCTCGGGTTCTAGTTCAGCAAATAGATGACACTGGTTGTCGGGATTATTAACATTTGGTTTTCTAGCTACAAAGCCGAATATTCTACTGAAAAAGAAAAAAAGTTGAATGAATAGAAAGTAAATATAAACACTGTAGCAAATAATAAAAAAATATATACTATAAAACAATTTATACATATAAGAAAAAGTACTGTATAAGACATAGGCAGTCAGTCATCAAATGAGCACATCAGAGCACATTTACCCTAAAACCGGGAAAATACAAAAGCTGTGCTCTTTTCACTTCGAATTCGATGGTCTTAAATTAAACTTCTTTAAAAGAAGTTTTGTAGAAAAAAACAGTGCAAGTGGTTCTTCTCCATCTTAAAATGGAAACATCGCTCAACTTTATGGTTTCTCCCAAAGTATTTTTTGTAAAGATAAATCAGGTTCGTTCGTTAAGTTAAATTTTTCAAATCGAGAAAGTCGTCATGATCGATTTCTATGACATTGAAAGATTTACCAGTTTTGGGTGTTGCACATTGACATTGAGAGTAAATAGCTTCAGAAAGTGATGCTAGTTTGATGTTTCTCTCTTTTAAAAAAATGAACATTATTTCCCACGTTTTGTATTTGGTCGTTTAACAAGGCATTTATAGGTAATTTACATTATTTTATGAATGACTACGACATAGTGGTATGCAGCAATGGCAAATTTATAACTTTTGTAGTAATATCGAAGAAATGTAAACAACACCAACGCTATCTTTATTCTCAAAAAATTCTTTTTAGTTATCGTGCTTTCTCCTGTTATCTTCTGCTAAAGTACCGTTCTTAATTTTAGTTTTCACTATACAGATACACTTGTTAGTAATACGTAATATTGGTATGAAAAAATATTTATACATATTTTTTTGCAACTTTAAAAAAGTAAACTGCACGTTTTGAAGCTCTATTTTCAGCTCAATATAGATGGATATTATTTATATTTAGGGTTGACTTTGCAACTGCAAAGAGTATTTCAGTACAATAAGCAAACAAAACTATAGCAACACTTCGTAAGAAGATAAACAAAAACGCAACTTCTACACTGGCACAACTCACAAGTGCCACTATTGCTCAAATAAATTATACTAATATCTCCCCAACGTACCGGTACAATGCAAAAGTGTTACTATTGAATTATACACAGCGTAACGTCTCTTAATACACGCATTGGTATACTGAATGCAAGTTTTGAATAAAATTAGATGAAGTATGTAGTGGTGCTTATGCCATCCAGTAAAACTATGCGAGTTAATGTTCGTCTTGTTGCAAGAAAGTTTAGAAAGAATTTAAAATTCAATTATAAAAATGACTGATTTTTGAGATGTGCCACTATTAACCTCGTGAGCGATATACTCCAGTTCATGAGTGCCAACACAACATAATATGGGTTGCCTAACGATGGCAATACAGGAACATTATATCCTATATCTTACAAATCTAATAAGAGTTCAGGTTGAACGGCCCTCATACCCCCTGTGACTTACAAGTTAAGCAAGTCTGCGCGTTGCTGAGTTTAAGGATGGTACATTTTTATTACACCTTTACTCTACCATACTATTGATATACCTATTTGTAGACCAATATAACATTTCTAGTTTTAAATTTCACATTTTTTCATCAATGCGTCTGGCTACCATGAGCTTGTTGCATTATATCTCTGGTAGTGCCATTCAATTTTTCGTTGGCTAAGATGACCAAGTCATCTGCATAGCCATGATACCTGTCGTTGCCTGTAGAAGTCTAGCTATCAGCTCATCAATGACCAGATTGCACAAGAGAGGAGATACGACTCCCTTTGCGGATAGCCCCTGGCCACTTGTGCTTAGAATGTATCCCCCAGTAACATTGCGTATATCACATGGTTCCTCAGTATTTAGTCTACCCACCTGCAGCTTGTTTTGTCTATTCCTTTTAGACTAATTGCTCCTGTGATTGCTTCATAGGAGGTATTGTCGAATGCTCCCTCTATATCGATGTGTAAAATCACCTCTTGGTTTTCCAGAACGTAGTTCACCCTCTGTACGAGATGGTGCAGTGCTGTTTTCGTAGAGAGTCCTGCTTGATACGCGTACTGTCCCCAATGTATTGGACTTTCAACCCATACACCATCTCTAATATGCCTATTCAACAGTTTTTCTAGAGTCTACAGTATGTACTAGTGTATTAAATTACTATTTGTTATTTTACAACAGTAAAAGAGTTTAATTTATACTAGCATTCTATTAAAAAAATCTTCGTATAACATCCAATTAATATGAGACCGATTCTCACAAATCACGCTTCCAAACAGAAATGTTGAATTCAATTATTGCGTATTCACAAAAGAGTAACAAAGATTGAGTCAATACACATATGCTATTAAAATCAAGGACAGGATATCTTTAGCAATACTAAACGAGATAAGCAACATAAGGTGCTTGATAACTGAATTTGTATATCTTATATCTTACAAATCTAATAAGGTTTATTAAGAATTACAAGGTAGCAAGTCTGAACGTTGCTGAATTTAAGGATGGCACTTTTTTACTACATCTTCACTGCACCATACTATTGATGCATATGTAATTGTTGGTTTGACCATATTATAAATCCAATATAACATTTCTGGTTTTAAACTTCACATTTTTTCATCAATGCGTCTGGCTACCATGTTACATTATATCTCTGGCAGTATCATTAAATTTTTCGTTGGCTAAGATGACCAAGTCATCTGCATAGCCATGATGCCTGTCGAAATCTAGCTATTAGCTCATCAATGATCAGATTGCACAAGAGAGGAGATAAGACTCCCCTTGTGGATGGCCCCTGGCTACGTGTGCTTACACAGTATCCCCCAGTAACATTGCGTATATCATATGGTTCCTCAGTATTCAGTCTATCCACCTGCAGCTTGTTTTGTCTATTTCTTTTAGACTAATTGCCCCTGTGCTTGCTTCATTGGAGGTATTGTCGAATGCTTCCTCTATATCGATGTATAATAGCAACTCTTGGTTTTCCAAAACATACTATACCCTTTGTACGAAATGGTACAGTGCCGTTTCCGTAGAGATCCTGCTTGATACGCGTACTGCCCTCAATGTATTAAACTTTCAATCAATACACCATCTCTAATATGCATATTCAGTAGTTTTTCTAGAGTCTACATTGTAGTCTACAATATGTACAAGTGTTTAAATACTCGAGAAGAATCATTTCAGGGAGTGACAAATTCCAGACAAATATGCCAGAAAGAAATAAATTCCGATCACGGCTTATAAACTCCAAATACAAGGTACCATGACGGTTATAAGTGAATATTATAACCATAATTGTGTGCTAAAAATATCTAAGTGAACTTTATAACCATAATGTCTGCTTAATATTTCCAATATTGACATACGGATGGGAATATTGGACCCCACGACAAGCGGAAAGAAGAAAGATATATAGACGCCACTGAAATGTTCTGTTGGAAAGAAGAATGTTTCGAATTCCGTGGACTGACCACGGAACAAATATTTCAATTTTAAATGAGCTAAAAATCAGCAAACGGATATCCAGCAAATTCCATCTCCATTAAAATACTTTGGACATGTTATGAGAGCAGACACAGAAAACATGGAAAGACTTATCATCGAAGGAAAAGTAGAATGCTGAAGATTACGAGGAAGATTTCCAAGATGGATCGATGAAATTACAGGCATATGTGACCTATTGCGTGAGTTAAAAAAAATGACCAGAGACATATATCTTTGGAGATGGACAGTACACGACATCACGATGACCACTACACTCCCTCCGGCGGTTCAGGATAGAAGACAGAGAAGGTCTATTGATCTAATTGATCAAAATAACTATTATTTTTTTTTCAGATAAAGTAACAATTAAATACTAAATATTCGTGTCTAATAATTGTCTTAATACAGTATCTATCCTAAAACACTATCTAAATAGATAGATCGAAACAAATAAATTTAAATACTCACTTAGAACTTTTCTCTGCTCCTGTATCTTCGGCATTGACGAGCCACTTATGATCGGCAGGATCTAGTCCACAATGCGATACTGTATTAATAGGGTAATGTTTTCTAAAGAACAACTTTCGCTTGTTGTCCGTTAATGTTACACCTTGGTCGCTGACTTTGAAGTGAACTACTGCTGTGCCTGGAAGTGGGTTTTTCTGGAAGAGCTGCATCACAGCTTTCTTGATAGCTTCGGGTCCGGTTAACGATTCCATGTCGATGGTGGAGAGGTACAGAACATTACAAGCTGCCCCTTGCGTATAAAGTGATTGTTGCTGGACGCCGTTTTGTTCAGAATACCTATAAAAAATATGTATGGTTAGAATATATAACTATGTATATAAAAACACAGGTCTACTAACGAAAATCTTTTTATTATAATATAAAAATTACAGAAAAACGAAGAGAAGTTAAGCTAGAAACGCACATTGCATTTATAAATATTGAAAAAGCAGTTATAGACTGAGTCGATAGACACAAACTATTTGATAATATGGAAGAAAAACGATAACCAATACATCAACAATCAAAAACATGTACAGAAATATAAATTTCAGAATTAAAATTAAGCCAAGTAAACAAAACAATAAAATATTGTGAGAAAAGGCAGCAAATATTTGATTTCACGCAAACAAATCCTATGTATCTCTTGATACGTATTTCGACCTAATAGGTCTCATCAGAAGAGCTATTCATAGGGCTTCTCAACGTGAAAAATCAATATTTTCTGCCTTTTAAGAAGCAACAATAAACATGGCTTCAATACGGACGCAGTAGCGACATCTAATTACAACAATCTTAAAATAGTTTCGAAACACAATTCAGATTTCTGCTTTATAATCTGAGCCTTCTAAAAATTGCAAGGCAAACAGACGTTGATAAAAGATGTTAAAAGAGACATGGGGAATCTAAAATTTGCATTCCACGACATGTCTTTTACAACTAAGCAGAAATCCTTAGCGAAATTGTGCTTCTTGTACTCACACAGAGAAAATCCGAATAAAATGAGAAAGGCAGCAAATATTTGATTTCACGCAAACAAATCCTATGTATCTCTTGATACGTATTTCGACCTAATAGGTCTCATCAGAAGAGCTATTCATTAGGGCTTCTCAACGTGAACAATCAATATTTTCTGCCTTTTAAGAAGCTGCTTCTTCTGAATAGCTCTTCTGATGAGACCTATTAGGTCGAAATACGTATCAAGAGATACATAGGATTTGTTTGCGTGAAATCAAATATTTGCTGCCTTTTCTCATTTTATTCGGATTTGCTCTGTGTGAGTACAAGAAGCACAATTCGCTAAGGATTTCTGCTTAGTTGTAAAAGACATGTCGTGGAATGCAAATTTTAGATTCCCCATGTCTCTTTTAATATCTTTTATCAACGTCTGTTTGCCTTGCAATTTTTAGAAGGCTCAGATTATAAAGCAGAAATCTGAATTGTGTTTCGAAACTATTTTACGATTGTAATAAAATAATGGTTTGTTAATATCTTCTGATAATACAATTGCTATACTTTCTCCCAAAACAGATAATATCACAAAATATTGAAGAAATTTTGTTAATAGGGCGGCGAAAACTTGGGTGAGTTAGAGATCAGTATAGAGGAGGTACAGGCTGTGACGAATGAGAATGTTCGTCTTACTGTGTTGAATTTATGGAAGAATCTAAGGATATCTGCGCATGTTTAGCGATTTTTTAAGAGAACAGGAATGGTATTAGGCCTCCTGAGCGAATGTTGGCGGAACCAGACTCTCGTAAGGGGTGTAGGTATGGATAGAGTTTTTTACAGATCCAGAAATATGTTTTCAAAATTAGGGAAGTCCAAAGAAAGTTAACATCTTAAGGTCTGTAGTGGCTATCTTACTGTATCGTATGGATGTGATCGACAGATCTGATGGCCGAGAAATGGAAAAATAATTGAAAACAAAAAAGGAAGAGGGCAATACCAAAGAAGTGAGAGGAACAGCTGTAATGAATTAATGGCAGCAGAGACTAATAGTAAATAAGTAGTAAAAAAACAGTAAAGACTACTTGGACCCAGCATCTCATCACTGATCTGGGATGTGGATCTTAAGATGTGAACACAGCGAGGTCAAACTATCATATTTCTCAGATGTTCAAGGTAGTATGATTGTTTCAGCAACCACCTGAGACGGAAGGGTAATGAGGGGACTGACGTGTGTGTACATTGTCAAGGAGAGCGGAAGAAGGCAGTGAGAATGTTGCAGAATAAGTCGATGAGGGGGTAGTGTTGCATATTGAAGTATCTACTACCCTACTACCCTAAACTTTTCTACTACCATCATGTTCTATTCATCTTATGGAGGTTTTTAGTGGGCAAAAATCAACAGCTACTTTCCGGTCTGGTGCGGATTGTGTTTTTTGAAGATCTTCCCCTATCCACGTTAAAAAGTTGTTTTGAGTTATAAAATCTTCTGTAATTATTATAACTGAGTTAATTACTATTAAGAAAATAGTTAAAATAATACACTGTAAGGACCCCAATTCTGTTTTGGCGTGACAAAGAATTTATATTAATTATTACTTTATTACACACAACAACAAATATTCTTAAATGCACCGGAAATGTATTTACCTTAAGTCCTCATGTGGAAGAATAAGTCTGCAAGGAAGTGCCATCTGGGTAATCGAATGTTGGTAAATCAATGCTGACAAAGAGCTAAACACTGGTTCGTTCTGACATCCCTTTAGACGAACTCCTCTGCTGGTGGGTTCAATAAGAAAGTGGCGGATTAAATCGTCACTGGAGCCACTCTTATTTTGCACGTTCGATGGCACTGTAGCAACTCTTAAGGCCAATCCAAAAGCTCCTGGGAAGGAGTTCGAGTCTCTGACTACAAAAGTTCCTGGTTGTTGCTCACGGAGCATAATGATGGCTAAAATATTTATAATAACAATATTAAATTCACAATGTTCTTCCTAAACATCTGTAGGATAATACTTTTAAGTCTTACACATAAAAGAAATGTTGTACATGGGGGACTGCTTCCCATATTTTCCCCCTCCCTTTATTTTCCTTTCACAGACACTTTTCCCTTTCTCCCAAGCCTTTTATATTTATTTGAGTTAATTTATTGAGTTGAGTAAAAACTTACCTTGTTCTCTGGTAATAGAAGGCTTGTACCAAAACTTGGAAGTATCTCTAACAAATTTTACATTAGCTGCTGAAACCTCATGTGGCGATTCGTTGTTCGAGTTTATGGAGCTTCTCCTGGATGTTCCGTAATAAACAGTGGGGGAAGAAGACCCATTATAGCTTGGACTTTTTGGACTATGCTGATAGTTATCGGTGGTATCTCTAAAACCTGATGTTGGCGTTGCCGAAATGCTGCGGCTAGTAATTGTGTGAGTGTATTCTGCTGAACCGTTGGTCAAGTCGGAGGGAGAAGTCGGTCGGTCCTTTCTGTTAACAGGATTTTTAAAAATAATTATATTTGTTATTTTACAACAGTAAAAGAGTTTAACTTATACCAGCTTTAACTCACTCAACAGAGAAGTAAAAAATCTACTAAAGAAAAAAATGTTTCCTAGGAAAGTAAATGCGAAGAGCTCAACAAATATATAAGGTCAACAAGATCAAAAGAAGCATGGAAAACGGTAAAAAACCTGAGAACAAACAAAAAAGAAGTGAGTAGAATGGATTGAATAGAAGAAAATCTTGGATCATACATTACTCACAACTTCTGACTGAAACAATACCGCAATTCACGAACACCATTACAACAACATATGAAGTGTAATACGATAAAAACGATGAAGTAACAGTACAGGAAGTCAGAGATGTAATACGAAATTTAAAAAATCGAAAAGCAAGCGGATCACAAGGTATACCGAAGAATTGCGGGAATTACTGGCGTATATCTTCACCTTACGAGTCTATAAAGGACATGACTTACCACATTTGGACAAAAGCACATACTAACAACATCTACAAAAAAGGAGATAGAACTAACTGTTCAAACTACAGGGGGCTAAGTGTCATATATTCACTCTCAAGACTCTACGGAAAAATAATAAAAAATAAAATTGAAAAACAGATGACAGATGTAAACAAAATGGCTTTCGTGCAAGCTGATAGATAGCATAATTTCTCTAAAGCAGGTATATTAAATTATAATATATATATATATATATATAATAGTTCTTCTTATTAATGATGGCCTTTAAGCGTAGAAGAGTAACAACGATCAAATTGAGTCCAAATACATATGCTATTAAAATCAAGGAGAGGATATCTTTAGTAATATAAACGAGATAAGCAACATAACCGAATTTCTGTCGGTGTGATGCAAAAATTGGAAAACTCATGGAAAAATCTACGCTGTAAATTTGAAAAGACGTCAATAAAAATTATCACAGTGCCGCTATGATAAAATAGCCATTTTCGTCGCAAGCCTTCATAGAACAATAAAGTCATAAGAAGAAATGAGTTGAAAAAGGTCGAGGGAGAAAGAAACGGTTTTATTACTATGTTGGTTAAAGAGCTATAATATGTATAAGTTAAACATTTTTTACTTTTCGCAAAATATAGGTACGGTAAATAAAATTGTGCAATTGAAACTGAACTTTGAAACATAAAGAAAAACCAATTATCATGTTGTACATCAAATATAATTAAGATTGTAAAAAGCAATGTGCTACGTCTCCATTGGAGTTAAACTTCTAATATCTTATATTTAACTTAATCCGTCTTTGTACTTGATCTCAAATTTGTTAACAAAGAGCAGTAAATGTGGAGTTGCAAAAATAAGTTTAATTAATCCATGAAATTTGTGTAGATATTTTAAAAATATCTAGATATTCTCACCGGCGCACATACGTCGATTTAACGGATTTACGCGGCCAAAATGATTTTACAACATATTTCTACTAAAACTCATAGAAATCAAAGGAAATATTGTTTTTTTTTAAATTGGCATATATTTATCATGGAAAAAATCAAAATTTAACAAAAAATATGCAGGTTTTTTTATACCTCAGACATCAGTGTCTGATATTCGGACTCAGTATTCGGGTCACCCGGTACAGCATTTGAATTGTTTCAGGACAAAATGATCCTGGTTTAACCATTTTGTGTACCTGACATCACATCGAGTTGATTAAACTTGTAGATGAAAGACAACTTAAGCGCAGTAACTATCCTCTTTAATAACATATACAAATCTGGTGTGATCCTACCGAATGGCTACTATCGACCTTTGTTCCGCTACCAAGCAAACTAAAAATTCCCAAACACTGTAATGACTAAATAGATCAGTTTAATGTCACATTTATTGAAAACATTTTTAAAGGTTATACATGCAAGAATATTCAGAAATTGCGAACCAAATATGAGTAATAGACAGTTTGGCTTTCGTAATGGATTCGGAACAGTAGAAGCTCTGTATAGTTTCACAACTCTTGCTCAAAAATATCGAGATATTCGTAAAAATATAAATAACATTCGTTATGCCGACGCTACAGTCATTATCGCTGAAAGTGAGAAAGACCTGCAGACGCTACTAAACACAATTTGTGATACTTGGAAACAGTTTGGTTTAACAATAAACATAAAGAAAACAAAAAACCTGGTTATCAGTAAGAGAGGTAAAGTCATAACAAGGATCTAGTTAAAAAATAAAAATATTGAACAAGTGGACAGGATGAAGTACTTAGGAGTCTGGATTATTGAAGATCTAAATCTAAAATCAGAAATCCGATCAAGAATAGAAATACTCAATCTGCAAAGCCGATATCGTATGATACAATGTTATATCCACTCTATTCTTCTTTATTGTGCCAAAAGTTGTACTGTTAATGCTGTCTTAATGAGAAAGCTGGAAGCTTTTAAGATGTGGATTTTTAGAAGAATTTTGAAAATGTCATAGACCGATCATATTACGAACTAAATGGTTCTGCACAGAATGGGAAGGGACAGAAAACATTTGACCACCATTAAAAGGAGAAAGACAGCATATCTGGAGCACATACTTAAAAATGAGAAGTACGATTTGGTACAGCTGATTATGAAGGGTAAAATCGTAGCAAAAGGTGTCCTGTCCTGGTAGACGACAAATATCCTGGCTGAAAAACATTCGCGATTGGACTTAAACACACAGACGCTTTTAAGAAAAGCAGCAGATAGAAACGAATTTACAATGGTTATAGCCAACTTTCGTTACCTTAAAATGGTAAATAGCGAGTTAGAAATTAAAAAAAGGCAGCTGAAATATACCTAGGTTGCATTCCTCCCGAGAACTTCGTGCATAAATCTCGTGGTATAATCAAAAATACTTAATTTTTTAGTCAGATTGTTAAAGTCTATAGATGTCGCATCACATATATAACATCGACTTGTAGATTTTGTATTGGTTGCAGCATTACCACAGCATTACAGACATTGCCATCAATTATGGTCATCTTGAAGGCAAACATGGATGTGTTACCGTCTAAAACAACTTCAGTACGTGTTAAGTTCTTGGAAGATTCTTCAACTTTGTAAACTGCTTTCTACGCAAGTACTTGTAATTCGTGGGCAGATCACATGTTTTTTCCTTAACAAAAGTGTCGAAGGATAAAATGATTTATTTGTGTTTTTAATAATATCGTATTGTCGCTTGGTTAATTCCGCTCAACATTGGTAGGGATTGCAACGGTGTAAGAGTAGTAATTTCTTCTTTATCTAATTCTGCCTGTATGCATCCCTGTATTTCCCTGCATCAGTTGAAGAATTTGTGACCTCTTTTAGTATTTTTTAAGCATTTTTTCCCTTAAGTCTGTAATGTTGTCTGTTATGCATAAACGATAACTTCACCATCAAGTAAAGAACGCATTTCTTCTGTTTTTTCTAAGAGGACGAACCGTTCTCTCAGAAACAACACTTGAAGCGAACGGCGATTTTGAATGTCTCGATGTACGATTTGACATTGACAAAATAAACATTAAATACGAAACTAGACTTCCATTTACACGTAAATTGTGAAATATAAATATGCTTTATCATTAAAATTGATTATTTAAAAGAATTTGACACAGTAAAATACAATTTAATAACTAAAGAGAGAACTTGGAATAAACTTCAAAGACCCGACAATTTTCAGAAATATTTATTCCAACCACACGGCCAAGATCAAAACAACTTATAAATAGTAAAAGGCATTCCTATTTAATTTCCATTAAAAGAATAAAATATATCCTACTTATGTTTTATTGCAATTTTATTAGGGCTTGTCCAATTTTTGTTTATATAAAAAAAAACAAGAAAGCATAATATATTTACACTCAAAACAATTACTCTTGGAACCATTGGTTTTGAAATTTCGAACTCTCTAAAATACAGGGAGTCCAGAAACTCTCGTGACTAACTAAGACCGGAGATTCATCAGATAATTATAAGATAACATAATTCACCTAGTCCGAAAATGCTTCCTAAGGTAGCTAGAGCTCTTTGAAGATGTTTACTTGTAATTAGTTTTTTTTAATACCTGCAGTACGCTTCTATTTAGAAAAACGAAAACTAGTACGATTATTTATCTTCTAGATCATAGGCGTCCGTTTTGGGTAGGTTAACGGTTAATTTAACGCATCACTTTTTTGTTTTTAACTTTTAAGCATTATAGATTATTAGATTTTCAGTTATTTTAGTACTAAAAGGTACTTTTATTTTATGTTGGTAGGATACACCATTTTCAAGATAAATCGATTTGAAAATGTTTTCGTTTCTTCGCCATAAAAGTTAAATTAATATTTTTTTATACTAGTTGGCTTTGAACTGTCAACAGAAGTATGATCTACGTTTTTCATTATCAAATTGTTGTCAGTTTGTGAAGTTTCTCTTTTAGTTTTTACTTTGTGGCATTAAAGCACAACAATTTCAATTCAACAAAAATGGTTTTTTACTAATGAGGAATACGCAAATATACATTTAGTTTATTGCGAAATGAAATGTAACGCTCGATCAATAACGTAGATACGCTAAAAAATTTCCCGATTAAGAGAAACAAATCCAGTATTCCCAAAAAAAAAAAAATAACGAAATCTTACACAACAATTATATTCTTTTAGCAGAAATGGTAAGCATTTGTAACTTAAGCAGGTATGTACGAGACTTTCTTAATAATAACTAAGAGGACCACTGGATGGAAAGAGTTGGTCTAGTTGCTTCGCCAGCAAGGTCGCCGGATTTGAATCCTTGCGATTATTGTATTTGAAGATATATAAAAGCATTTGTTAATTCCATTCCGATACAAAATTGTGCACAACTCTGACTAAGGATACAAGATGTTTGTAACGAATTAAGAAATAACTTTGGAATTTTTGCAGGAATTCGGCGTTCTCCAAGTAAAATCAAAATTTAAGCATAGAGATTAATGTTTATCACATTGAGCATCTTTTGTTACTATCTACCTTTAATACTTGTTATTTTTGTGTTACTCGTTATTTCATTCCATAGTTTTTGTTTCAAATTGATTTTTTCAAGTTTCAAATTTTGTTTCAAATTAATTTTTTGCTTCCTTTCCAAACTTTTTTACGAATTTTGTATTGCATTTATTGAAACAAAAGGATAATTTATAAAATTAATTAAGGTCCCTATTAATTTAACTTTTCTGATGAAAAAACGAAAAAAAAAACTAGATTTGTAACGGTGTATCCTACAGACTTAAAGCTAGAATACCTTTTAGTCCTAGAATACCTAAAAATTTAATAATCTAGTATCACAAATGCTTAAAAGTTAAAGACAAAAAAGTTATGCGTTAAAATAACCGTTGACCTACCCAAAACAGACGCGTACGACCAGTACTAGAAATTCGTAGTTAATGGAATCGATTCAACTCTGGTGGATAAATAATCGTACCAGTTTTCGTTTTTTTTTTAATAGTAGCGTTCTGGAAACTACTTACAAGGCGCCATTTTCAGATTAGGTGATTTGGGTTAAGTCGTCTTAAAATTATCTGAGAAATGTCCGGTTTTCGCTTGTCAGGTGAGTTTCTATAATTGAACAAGAAATAAATATCAATTAAACTTATTTTTCTGTAAACGCATGAAAAGGAGATTGACCCTTTTTCTTCAAGCTCCAGAAATATAAATCGTTGAAACGGAAAAACTGTTTTTTGTTTCAGCCTCGAAACAGAAACAACAGTTTTTCTCGACTCTATTAGAAACGTTTTGCGCATTGCATTGATACAATCAGTTTGTCGATTGCTTTAAAAATTGAGTAATTAGTTGCTTGTGCATGCATTGCTTTATGTACTCCAAGATATGGTGCATTATTTAAGCTGTTTTTGCATTCCTTCTTTATAAAAACGTTTTTACTTTTCATGTGTAATACATTTTTAAATAAAAAGCTCTTAATACAGAACATGTCATTATATTTCGGAACAACAAAAAGTCAAGTTATTACATAGAAACAGTGTAGTTACTTTAACAATGCAGTGAAAGTGTAACACATTGGTTTGTTATGTCATAATACAAAAAATATCATGCTGTATGTGCCACAAGTTTATTGAGAGATATTACTTTACCTTTCAGGAGAAAGTGACCACTTCATATTGTTTTTGTATGTTGATGAAGGGAAACTCAAGCGTCTATAAATATAATAATCTTAATGTTCGATTAACCAGTGTGATAGAAGTAGAAGAAGGACATTTGTGACTTAAATATCAGTTTCAAAACTTATTTGGACAGTTAAAGGAATATAAAATGTTTATATTTCTTTTCATTATTTCAATATGACTTCTTGAATTGCATAACCGTACTTAAGGCAAAATACAAACTCATACATCAATACATAAGATCTGGACGACAAACTATAGCAGTTTAATCATATATTGATTTTAGAGAGGAAGTGAAGGCAAAATATGAAGAAAAGAAGAAAACCTTTTTACAATACAGAACACAACAAACACAACAGACATATAACCACTATAACGAATACGAAATGAAACGTATACTTCAGTTAGACAAATAAAAAGCAAACACTAGAGAGGTTCTCAAAAGAGATGAAAAACGACTTCTACGGAACACAAAGAGATTTATGAAACATGATCAGAAGACAAAGAAAAGAGATGAACGAACTAATGAAAACGAAACACATTCAGAAGGAAACGTGGGCAGACTGCTTTCCATATGTGCTAAAGGTGAAGATAATGAACCAAAATCACTAGAAGTGACGACAAGGGAGAGGTAAAGAAAGCATTAAGGAAATTAAAAAATAGAAAATCACCCGCAGCAGACAGAATACCGAACAAACTCCTAAAGTACGGAGGAACATATCTGACCAAACAATTATTAAAACTTACTTAAAAAACCTGACAGCATACAAATCTCTGGTATTAGAATTGCACTTGGAGCCTTCCGAACAACTCCCTCCGAAATAATACTGAGTGAAGCCGGCAAACCACCTCTAAACCACCGAAGAATATACTTAGCTCTACCACATGCCACATCTAAAGCCTCAAATATGAACAAACCTCTCTTCTGTGATACTTTTAATAACAAATATATCAATTTTTACAATAATAAGCCCCGTGCCCCCAAACCTTACTACGAGAGAATCCGATTATATAGTTCTAACCTGAACATTCAGTTCTCAACAGTATTTCAAACGAATTCCAATCACTATCTACTTTGGACGGAGGTGTAAAAGAGGGGAACATCTGGCGAAGAAAAACGAATGAAGAAATAATGCAAATATATGGGCAACCAAAAATAACAAGACTCGCTAAAATTCAAAGATTAAGATGGCTCGCATATATAGCAAGAATAAAGGAAGGAAGAGTTCTCAACGAATTAATAAACACGGAGGCTGGTACAAAAAGAAAAAGAGGCCGCCCCCCAAGAAAATGGCTGGAGTCGGCAAAAGAAGATCTGAAGTCGCCGCGGGTACAAGATTGGAAATCTTAGCACAAGATAGAAAGAAATGGAAGAAAACCGTTAAAGCTTTGGGCCTTTGAGGCCTGTTGAGCTGAAATATATATCTACCTTGGACTATCAACAGCACAAAATCATTACAGCATTAAGTATATATAATAAACACGAAACTAGTCCCATTGTTTTTAAAGTCAAACTAAATTCAATCCTTGATCAACAATAGAATGACTGGATTAAAATTTATACAGATGCATCCAAAGGTGAACTTGGCGTTGGAGCAGCAGTAACCCCAAATGATCCTTTTCAATTTAAACTTCCTCTAAACTCCAGCATCTATACTGCACAACTATTTGATTTGTTTAAAGCCATTAAACATGTAGATATTAAAAACATCCCTTGTTGTCTGGTCCTTTCGACTCTCTCAGCGCAGTCAAAGCTATGGAAAATGTATACCCTAAACACCCCATTGAGAAAATGATCAAGGCCGAATTAATGGAAGCTCAAGAAAATTTCAGAAGAATCCACTTCCTGTGGATACCATCTCATATAGGTATAGAAGGGAATGAACAAGCAGATACTAGTGCGCGTAACGCTATCACAAATGAGGCATCAGAAACAGAGTGTCGGAGTGTCCCTAGTGATCTAAAAGTTTATTTCAAAAATAAGGTGTTAAGTGCGTGGAATCGGAGTAGAATGATTCCAGTTCTAAACTCAGAACCATCAAAAGTGACATTTCTTCATGGAAGTCGACTGCCAGAAGTAGAAGATCTCAAAATATTATTACACGACTACGACTTGGACACTGTAGGTATACTCAAGCCTATCTCTTCTCAAATAGTGAACCTACAAAATGCCAAATTTGCAATACAGTAGACAGTATAAAGCACTTCTTGATATACTGTCCTAAATATATAAATTAAATATATTCTTACAATTTTCCAAATAACCTGAAAGCATTACTTGATAAAAATTTTGTTCCGGACAATTTATTAGGATACTTAAAATGTATAAACATTACACACAAATTTAGCATAATTAATTGTTACAAATGTTTATACATTGTAATAAAATAAATTGTAATTAATTGTTACAATGATTGATTGTTACAAATGTTTAATTTAATATTGTTACAAATGTTAAAGAAATGTCGCTAATAACCTTCGGGTAGACGCGACTTTGTCCTTTTAAATAAAAAAAAAATATTAAAACTTGGACAGAGAGATATCAAAACTTGGAGGGAGATAAATCGGACCTGGAGAATTACAGAGGAATTAACTATTAAATACAACACTAAAATTAACAACCAAAGTTATAACAAATGAAATGAATGAAATTATGACACTAGCAGAAGAACAACAATGTTTTAGGTCGGTAAGATCATACACCGACGCTATATTTATAATGAGGCAAGTGCAAGAGAAATCACTAGAATACGACAAAAGGCATATTTATGTTTTGTGGACCCTAAGAAGAAGGCTTTTACAGGTTGAACAGAATAAAAGTAGAAGAATTAACTGAACCCATTGTATATACTGATCATAATAATTCTTTTATCACAAACCCACAATAAATCGTTTTATCTATCAGTCTTGATATTTCTATATGTAAATGAACTTACCTCTGGGTTGTAGGACTTTTTGGAGGTAATCGTTCGGAAGGTATGTCGAATTGTACAGTTGGAGTAGAAGCATTTATGTAAGGAGTCCTGGCGTGCACAGGAAACGCTGGTGTTTGAGGTCTTGGAGAAGAATTGTGAGAGGGACTTGAGTCCAGCTCCGTGCCTGTCTGTGATCGCCAAGACTGAATTGATTCTTCACGTTGGTACTGAAATGAAAATAGATTAGAAAATTTTGAAAATTAAATAAATATACAACTCATAATAGGTTACATAGTTTGTATAAAAATTATACTATAAATTATTGACACATAACCTATTTCACGGTTATATTATATGAGTGTTCGCAATAATTGCAATGTAGAGTAGCGAATGTATGACATAGAGGGGCACATGCAATTTAAGGAATTTTATAAGAACAGTTTATATAACCCTTAAGGCAATTAATAAATCAGATAAAGTAAAAACTGAATAAGCAAAAGAAAATAGGTACCTACAGTTATAAAATATCAAGAAATTGAGGAGTAGGTATTGAAGAAACGTGTAAAAGTGTAAAAAATAACGAACGTGAATGTTACAATCAATAATTAATGAACTTCGATGAATGATGATTACAAACAAGTGCTTTTCCCAAGATTTTTTGGGTCTGTTTACTTTCCGTTGACCTTGAGGATTCTAATCCAGTGCTGTTCTAGAGATGTGGGTCCTACAGATGTGGAAATGTATGTAATCCTAGACTGGGGATCTACGAAGTGTGTGACACAGCCCTCTCAATTTTCTTCGCCTTATTTGCTTTATGACGTTTTTTTATTTGGTCTGGTTCATAAATTTTCATTTGTAATTCAATTAGGTCAAAAACTGTAATAGGTGTAATATGATTTCTGATATCTTCTACGTTTCACAGCCATATAATAATACAGATTTTTAATTTAGTTTTAGTTGGGTAAATCTTTGATTTCCATATGTTATTAAGCATATTATAGGTATTACGAACCTTATTAATTCTTTCCTGCAATCAGGTTATCACCGTTATAATCAATTATGTTGTCCAGAGATACAAAATTCCACCACATTCTCAATTTCCTGGTTTTTCATCACAGTAGGCTGGTTGTTTCTGGTGCCAAATCGCATTTCTTTGGTTTTATTGAATGTGTTAAGAGGCATTCTCAGCTCTAGATCTTCCAGTCTCTTTGTTAATCTCGAGTAAATTCTTCTATTAGAGTTTATCTTTGTTAGTACGCAGTCCAGTATAATGTTAAATAGTAGGGGGGATAAAACACAGCCCTGTTTTACTTTGTTTGGCACAGTTATTGGGTCAGATATTATGCCGTTGTGTAGGATTTTGCTTTCTGTCATTTTCTTCTTTGAGTACCGGGCCCAAGTTTTAGGCGTGGGTAAACGCCTGAAAAATCCATGACGATTTGCCGATATGTACGTTCTCGATCTTGCGCGGCATGTAATAATTCATCAACTGATAAGCCAGTTCATTGACGAAGGTTTCGGAGCCATGAACATTTCTTCCTACCAATTCCTCTTTTTCCGTCGATTTTTCCGTTGAGTATCAACTGCATTATTCTGTATCTGCTTCCTCTCATTATATGGTCCAGATATTCGAGTTTTCTCTTTTTTTATCATCTTTATTAAATCACCTTCACCTTTCCAGCACAGAGCAGATTATGATTAGTTGCTGCGTCTGCACCTGGGAATGTTTTGCAGATGTAATACTGTTTCTAAACCTTTTGTTAATGATAATGTAGTCGATTTGATTTCTGACTACCTTTCCTTCATGATCAACTGGAGATTTACAGGTATATAGTCGTCTTTTAGGTTGTTGAAACAAAGTATTTGTTATAATGCAATTCTCTTTTTGGAAGAACTGTATTAGTCTCTGCCCTCTTTCGTTTATTTCTCCAAGGCTATAATTTCCGGTTATATCGTGTGTTATTCCGGCACGAACTTTTGCGTTGAAGTCTCCCATAATAATCGTAGCTTCATATTTTTTGTGCTTCGGAGGATTTGTTTAATTTGGTTGTAGAATTGCCCAATTTCTTCATCTGGTTTGTCAGCAGTTGGTGCATAGACTTGTATTATATTAATATTCATTAATTTATTTTGCAGCTGTATCATCATCATGCGATCATTGAAAGAAACAAAATTTCTAATACAGTTACGAATTTCTTCTTTGACAATAATTGTATCTTTCTGTATCACTGTACAATTCTTAAAGGAGATTTATTTTTTTGGTATTCCTATTTCCTGTAGTGTTTTCCATATGTGTGAGCATGTCGAAATCGGTCTTGAAGACCACAAAGCACATGAAGAGAGGAGAGTTGAATTGCTGCGACTATTCTACGATTACTCTAAGTGTGTTAATTTGGTCAATACATGGTTTAGTCTAAAGTCGGCTTGTTCCCTCTTTAACATTAGTTCCTCACTGTTCGTCAATCGGTTGTTTATAATTATTGCTGTTAATTCATTTATGGTACTCAGAAGGGTGATTCTTCTCCAGTTTTCGCACTGATGATGATATTACTGATGATAATAATAAAAAAATTATGGTGAATTATCCATCTAAGAAAAATTAAATAATATAGGTCCAGGCAATATTATTTGAAAAATATTCAGCATTTTTTAATGATTGCAAAAGAAAGAAAATATATACGGTGATCTATTGTAATTGAGACGTTCCAAACTCACTCTATATGAATAGTTTCATTTATAAACATTAGGATATTAAGCAAAACCAACAAGTTATGAGATATACAAGTTATCTCCATACAAAAAACCAAAATAATTGATAATTTAATTAATGAAGACAAATATGCATTAGATAGTCTCATTAGCAAAAAATTAAAATATGTGCAATTATTACCCATCAGTAATTTGAATGAATGATTCCATGATTCGGGTGAATACTTTGAAAGATCAAGACATTGATTTTTGACATATCATGCATGGTCATGCTATAAAGCTTTTTGACACGCAATAAAAAGCAATACAATAAAAAACACGCAAATAACTGTAACTATGAGAACAAAATGTAAAGCTCTTCGTGCATGATTCTTTTTATCTTTTCTCTCGGTAAAATATAAAGGACACCATATATATGATCCCACGAATTAAAACGTTTTGGATTTAATAAATAAATGATCTTAATATTTTTTATACATTTTAGGATGGTAATTTTTCTATAAAATGAAATAATAGGTATATATTCACATTCTGAAAATTTTTTATGCTGTTTTTCAATTATTGAAAGTCCTTTTGTGTTCTGCTATACGTTTGTTAAAGGTTCTACCCGTTTGACAGATGTAAGTTTTTTGCAGTCACCACATGTAAGTTTGTATACACCGCTGTTTCATGAACTTCCATCAAGTAACGGTCGAATCCATCACCTATATGCTGATATTTACACTTTATTAATAAGTTTCTTATATCTAGTGCAATATTTTGATATATTAACAGATATAAACTATTTGTAACTGGTGTTGGTTCTTATGTGATAGTCTTTTTCTTTTTTCTAGCGCCTATGAGATGCTGGCGTAATAAGTAACCGTTCAAGAATTTGCTCATATTGTCATTGCCAATGGGAAGTGTCACATTTTTACTGGAATGTTTTTGTCAACGAGGTCTTTTCTTGCATTTGTTGCATTTTATTATCGTTGAAAATGACGCAGATATGCGTGCAATGCATTTGCAATAAGTTTTAATTTTATACTCGAAAAAGTTGACTTTTCAAAATCAAAAATTAATCTCAAAAAGCTCTTTTAGAATGATTGTTTGAGCAAAACATAGAAAAGAAGCTAGTTTAATTGGTTTAAAAATGCCCGCATATCTGTTGACAGTGACCTGCGTTGTGGTTGTCCTCTCAGCATTGGGAAATATCCGTGTGAGACTTGCGATTGAAAATCATTTTTGCCTATGCGCTAACTACACAGCGGGAATGACTCATGTGTACCAAATTTCCAAAATTGTTCAAGATAGAGCAGAAACAGAGCCTCTTAGGAATCTGTGGACGACATAGATATGATCGCTAATGACAAACAATAAAAACCAAACAGTCTTTTCAATGTAAGCTTCCGTCGGGGCCAAGGTCTAAAAAGAGTCGTAAAAAAGAAGAAAATCAATTACACGTTAATTGTTTTTTGTGCCATAAAGAGGTAAAACCGATCTATAAGAATTCCACGTTGAAGTTCTAAAAAGATTGCGTTCCGTACTGAGAATAAAACAGTCCAATTTTTCATAACACGCAACTATAGGGTCTTTAATTAAGCGCATATCTCTTGATATCTAGATGTCATTATTTATGGAAGATAACATGGTTCAAATGTCCGTCGCGTTTTCGCTAGGTGGCGTGCATCCAAAATGTCCAATTTTTCATTACTTTGGCACATAAATCAAGCTGAATTTTACCACAGGTTAAGTCGGCTTTGAGTGCTGCTGCGATGTATATCTTATTCGCATAGACCTAAGATTTAAGAAAGCCCCACAAGAAAGTTTAACAGAGTCAAATCGCACAATTTAGGTGACCAGTTTACATCACCCCCACTGAGATGAACATGCGCTCAAATCGCTTATACAGAATGTCGAATTTGACACGTACCGTCATCCTATTGCGTGGTCCATCCTGAAAGCACAATACGTTGGTGTTCATAGCATACAATTCAGGTACTTCAGAAGTTGGTATCATCGACCTATAGCGCTCGCCATTAATGGCGATGGCCTCAACGAGAAATATAGACTGATCAAACAGTAAATTTTTGGGATGTATTAGGTATTCTTAGATTTCATCTGGAAAGGTATAGTACCAAATTTGACAATCCTGTTTATTGTGGTACCCATTCATCCAAAAATAGGCCGCGTCGTTGAAGGTGATTTTTCGATGAAAATTCAACTTCATACTTCAGAGCCCTTTTACCAAAAACACTATGTCGTTTGTTGTTCATGTTCGTTTACCTTCAGCTCTTGGGTCAGTTGATTTTGTACGGGTGCAGACCCAAGTAACGACACAAAATTCGCAGCGTCGTGATCTGTGAAAGGACGAGTTCTTGTGTAGATTCAACACAACAACCATTTTAATAAAACAATTTTATTATTTGCACGTGTTTTTCTACGCTACATCCAACAACGGTGATTTGTCAAAACAGACTAAATAAATGAGACTCCATTTGAAAGATTTAGTTTCAACAATTTCGCCGCTATCAACTAATTAAATTCGAAAGCCTCTATTCAAAGACTGTACAGTTTTTTCATCACGAAAATAAGCCAGCGCATTCATCGAATTTTGTGGAACAGTTTTTGGCAAAACTCAAGGTAACACTCAATCAGCAAAACTCAATCATTCTCAGTATGATTCTGACATATTTTTTCCAAACTGAAAATGCCATTTAAAGAGAAACGTTTTAGGGAACAAATTGTTTTAACGACTTAAAGCTCTGACGCGTATGCGCTGTTATGTAAAATGATACAACTTTGAAAAATGGTATGAGCTGAATAATGAACGATGAAGAATTGAGTTATGAACGACCACTAGATAGCTTGAGACAGGTCTAGTATGATTTGATCATTTGAATTAGTAGAAGTTGCTATAGCAGAGCTCTGATAAGTACTTAGTCTCACCGCCCAATGGCGTATTACTACAAGAGAAATTTACTTTGCAGTAGTACATTTCTCTAGATACAAACTGTCAAAATTTTAGCCGAATCTGAGTTTTGAGTTGATCGAGTTTGGAAGCGAGTGTGTCCCCGAATTTTAGAAAAATGGAAAAAGAGCAATATTAATTTGGAAGGGAAATCGCGTAGAGAAATCAAGGAGCGTTTGGATACAGTATACGGTAACTGTTCTCCTTCAATGGCGACCGTCAAAAATTAGTTTAACGATTTTCAACGTATTTGCACATCGGTTATTGATGAGCCATGTCCAGGTGCACCGAAAACGGTTATCACCGAGGATAACGTGACAAAGATCCATGACCTTGTATTGGCAAACTGCCTATTAAACATGTGCGAGATAGCTGAGATAGTACGCAGCTAAAAAATTGCTTTGGTTATATTTTGAATGAAATTTTGTTTTGTTTGTTCCCTCCGGACAACAAGCGCAACCGTGAAACCACTTCAGAGCAGTATTTGACGATCTTCAAGAGCAATGTGAAGGAGTTTCTGTGCTTTTCGTGACCGTCGATGAAACATGGATGCGTCAAACCCATCAAAACCAATTGGTCGAATTGGGCTACAAAATTCTGACCTATCCACCGTATCCAGTTTTGGACCTGTGCGACTTCTTTGCGTTTCCAAATCTAAAAAAAATCATGCGCCACCACGGATGTCTACTCTGCATACTTCGTGAGAACGTATTTTCCAGATGAGTCTAAGTAATTGGAATATCGCTGGGTCAAGTCTATCGCTATTCTCAGCTATGTTGAGAAATAAATCAGCACTTTTTGAAAATTTTCGTTTTTCTTTTGTAGATCAAGTACTTATCTGACCGTCCTTGTAATGTCAACTAATTTGGACTAAATCTATTTGAAATTTACAATTTTAGATAAAGTTTGCATATGATATTCGGTAACTTTGCGGATTTGTAGTATTGACAACTTTAATATTACAACAATATTTTTTTTATTAAAACAGATGGTGAAAAGACACTAAAATGTATCTGTAAAGCATTTTTCGATATACAGCACAAACGATAAATGATAATTAATTCTAAAAACTGATTTTCGTATACAGATGAGTGAATCTAAAACCAATTGTGATATATTTATTGAAAATATGTTCTTAATCTATTAGTGACTATGATTTTTTTAATATGAGTTGATACAAAAAATTAATGACAAAGCAAAAAAAATTAACCCATTGTTAGTACCTGCCATGCTGGTGCAACATTGTTAGGACTCTCGTTAGATTTATCAGACCCACTCGATAGGTTAGCGATCAGGTCATTCAGCGCTTCTAGCCTAGCACCATCCACAGGGGGTCTACCGTCTGACCTATCTTCAGAGCGCTCCCCTCGGTCAACAAGCTGCCGTTGACCTACAGGTTGCTCCCTGTCAATAGGCGATCTATGATCAACAGACGGCTTTCCATCAGTGGGTGGTCTAGGCAGCCTTTCCTCTGCAGTCGGCGAACTGTCCGTCTCACTTTCAATACCCACCGTTTGTTGTTGTTTACTGTAGTTTGTTTTGTATTGCTGTTTTTCCGCTAACGATAAAAGTCCACTATCTACTTGATCAGTGCTTCTGGAGGGAGGACGGACTACGTGCCCTAAAGGGTTTGCAGCTAAAATTTGTGCTGGGGACTGGTTACCATTCTAAAAATGTTAGTTTAAGTGAAACTTGTAAATTGGTGCATGGGGTAATTGTAAGATGTAATATATTTACGGAACAACACTGTTAGTTTTTGTTTACCTATTTTTAAAAAGTATGAATAATTCACGTGGTCTAATATTTAAAGGGTGCTTTATAAATATTGTCGGATATAAACCATTTTTCTAAAACTATGCTTCTCAAACCTCTACGGTCATAATAAACTTACGTCTCTTGTTTTATATGCTTAGATTATGCAATATTTGATTTATTTAGTTTTATTTACATAAGTTGTCAAATTTATAAATTGTATTAGGCTTTTCTTCATTTCTGTGACATTAAATCAACTGTAGGCATTTTTGCCAAAGTTGATTTTTATATATAGTTGAAAAATACTATTTTCTGTTTTGATCTTATCTGTTAATTTATTATTGTTTTTAAAGGTAACAGTTGAATTTAAAAATCCTAACACATACGGAATATTAGAGCGATTATTATTATTTATCTTTAAATAATTAAAGATAAATTATATTTATCTTTAAATTAATTTATATTAAATATTACCTTTAAAAATACTATTATAAAATGTTTAAACTATTTATAATTAATATCGCACATCACGCCATTTTAACAATGGCACTCCAAGACTGTTAAAAAGATTGAAAAATATTTTCAAAATTCGTAAATAATCAATCAATACGCTACTAACGGTGCACTGTTGAATATCCAGACGTAAATTATTGACCCACAGAATCAAAAAAATACTACTGTAATAATTGAAAATATTTCAATTGCACAATTTAACATGATTTAGATCCATAAAGCGTGATTTTCACCCTATAAAAATAAAAGGCTCCCCTAGTGCATATATAACTTTTGAAGAGGGGCATACGATTGATAAGAAACTAATTCTAAATTATTAGCAAAATCGATTCAGTTATAACAAATTTAGAGATATTGACACATTTTTAGCCACAGTGATTGGACTACAAGTGATTTAACATTTTATTATGGAACTTTAATTTAAATTTAATTTATCTAATTAAATTTATAGTTGTTATTCTGGATCAAGTCAATTATGATTGTAAACCAGATGATTTCAATTCAAATATTAACAAGTTAACTGCCGTGACGGGCCCATGAGACCGGCACCACAATGTTCCATCACGCCACGTCGGTCCGATGGAACCGGCACTACAATCCTATTTTTAATGTAGCTTACCAGGCAGCTGGCATACAGTATGTATTGGCCCGGCACGGTCTGTGCAACCATTCTACACAGGATATTTTTAACGGTAAATATTTTTTTTAAATAAAAATGATATAAAAATGAAGCTTAGAATTTAGTTGTATTTTGAAATATGATTACAAAAACATTACATTTGATATTTGCTGTACCTCTATAACAGTATGTGTATTGAAAACATTGTAAACACAATAATGGTATTCCTTCACACTCTTTACACTTTGTAGTATCTTTTTTAGTTTTATTTTTTGCTACCATACGACCTTCATTTTTCATATTTGCTTCGTAACATGATTTGCAGTATCTTCGCATTTTATGCTTATGTCCCTGGACCTCACTTATCTCGTGGCATTTTCTTTTCGGAGTGACCAGAGTCATGGGATTTGCTGAACTGCTACAACAGAGAAACTTTACAATTTCTTTCCGAAATTCAACCACACCTATTTTGTTACCAGTAACCTGCACATACAAAATGTATGCATTCACGACTGAAGTATTTAGTAATAGCTCTATTGCTATTTTTCTGTACCACTTAACAGTTTGAAGTAGTGGTCTGGAATATGCTGTCATAACATCTGATAAATCAACTCCAGCTTTGCCTGTATTGTAAGCTAAAACCATTTTTGGTTTTACTAAAGAAGTTCCTTGTTTTTTTTGTACATTTTCAGTTTCAATCGAATGGCAAGTAGAGAGCATTAATACATTACGTTTATCCCTCCAATTAAAAAAACTATCCCTCTGCTATTCTCCATACTCCACCTACTTTTAGTTTTTTGTTAGCTATTTCTTTTGGTATTACTTTTCTGTTTCGTCTGATTGTTCCTATAAGATGTGTATTTCTGTCTAGCAGTTTGTTTGCTAACTTTATACTGGTAGACCAGTTATCCGTACAAATAGTTCTATTCGCATCTAATATTGATGTGCATAACTTCATAACAATGCCTAAAGGGATAGTTTTTTCTTGTTCTAAGGTTTTAGCAGCGGATATTTGTAAATTATATGTATAACCATTTTTACAACACAATTTAAAAAATTTAATTCCATATTTATGCGTTTTTGCTTGTTGTACTGTTTCATCAGTAGCCTGCCTCTAAAAGGAATCATTGATTCGTCCATACACACAATTTCTCCGGGTACGTAAACAGATTGATTGTTTTTGAAAATTAAGTTTACTAAATTATTTATTTTGTGTAATCTGTCTTCTATATATTCTTCATTATTTCAAAAGTGAACCATTCGCAATAGAATTTCAAACCTATTTCTAAACATAACACTTGATGCAAACCCCATTTTGAACAACGAATCTTGAGTCCAATAGTCTGACGGTAATTTTACAAGTCCCATCCAAACTATCAAACCAAAAAGCTGTTTTATTTCAACAGTATCTGTGGGATTCCAGTTGTGTAGCCTAGAAGATGAAGGGTGTCGGTGCTAACCAGTGTTTGCGTAGCGTATAAGTTTGCCTGATTTGCTATCACTTCAAATCTGGAGTCAGTAACGATAGCGAAAGAACTCGTCTGGTTTACCCATTGCTAACATGCCAGCTACATCACTGTTAACACCAGCTTCAATTGAAAAAGTTGGCAATTATACTTGATTGCCTTTTGGTTCTGTCTAATCATCATCTACTTTCATTGATATTCCGACATCACACATCGATATATTTTGATGATTCTCATTATCTTGTGTGTTTAATGCTAAAAATAATAACATTATTGCTTCTTCGTTGAAAATGTTATTATAATAACATTTTCAGCGCATCTATCTTCGACTACAAATATTATAACAATTGGGACAAAAATATATAATAGTAAATCAAGTTACGTTCTTCAAAATTTCCAGTTCGCCTCCAGAATTATCAGAGATTTCATCGGAATTAGGTTCATAATTACGATCTATAATTTAATCATCGCTAAATTCATGTTAATCTTCTTCGTCAGACGTATTATTTAGTTTGTTCAAGTTCATGATCTGATAAACCTACTAAACCTCTGTAAATACCTACTGAACTATTTGAGCGATTCAACATGTATCGGCAAGTACTCCAGCTACAAATATAGCTTGGCAGTTACCTTGTTAATATAATATTATTGAAATATTGATCAAAACTAACGATATATATCTAAAAAATTTAATTTTGTTTGTTTCTTTAAGATTTTCCGAGCTAAACTAAAAAAATAACAATGCAATATAACATAATAAGAAAAGATATATGAAATAAAATAAGCTAAGTAAAGGAAAAGTGGCTAAAAGAACAATGTCAAGTGGTTACATAAATGGTTTAAAAACCTTCAGAATGATATAAATACAAAAACCACCATCAGAATTTTCAACTAAAAGCATGGCTTATAGCCTACAAGACCGAGGCCAGGTAAGTCACCCGTCAATTTGGAAAACATAACCGCCAAATAACTTTGGTTATAATAAAAACTCCCCAATTTTAATTTAAAATAATCTTTTTTTGGAAACGATTTCCGGAGTGAAAATAGAATTGTCAGACAACAATTATAAATTCTAATTTTCATTACAATCATCATATAAACATAATATTTAACTAGACATGCCACAAGAAAACAGTTTCAGAAACTTTTGAATTAAATCTACGTTTCTTTTACTTACTGAAATGTATTTCTTTAATCTCACTTAATAAAAGAATATTTTTAAACCTCACTCGCCCTGAAAAGTATTTTTTGCACGAACTTGCATTAATCACCATCTAAATAACACATTTTTACCGTTATAGCTCTTGTTAACGAACGTTTTTTCAATGGGTAACCGGCCGATGCTAAACGGGTACCCGTGTCGACGGTTCTTAAATTTCAAGGGATATGCGTCCGTTGACAGTATGGAATATCCCAAATATCGTCAGTTTTAAAGTAACAAGTGCACGCAATACAGCAAAAAATTATACTAGCTTATTATTTGTTGTATAAAAAAATGCAGAAGAAACGGGATAAGCGTAAAAGGAAAAGATGGAAACATCCTATTTTGTTAGAAAGACGGCAGATGGTGGAAGATGGTGTTTTCCATACACTTTAAGAAGAACTGAAAAAAGACGAAATAAAATTCTTCAATTACCGCTTTTATTAAAATCTCCATATCAAAATCCATATTTTAGCGGCAACAAAGAAAGAGATTTATTGAAACAACTGATGCTCGTCCAACACCGTTAACACACTTGCATAAATTAAAATGGTTCACTGAGAGTGACTGGATACGTAGACGGTGAAAAGTTAACCAACGGATTGGTTGCCATTGCGTGAACAAAAATTCATACGAACCTGAAAGACACTGAGCAACGGCCAACGGGACGGTTTTAAAAACGACCCGTTGACCGTTGTCGTTAACAAGAGCTCTTAATGGTTGGAAAGATTGAAAGGTCGCAAAATTTTATTCAAATAGCACTCTTTCGAAAACTTTTGGTCATCGCTGCTCTAAACCACGAAACAAAAACTTACAGTGTCAGTTACCAAATGAAAATGTATTATAATAATGTAGTGCTTAAGATATTACACGTGAATATAATACAAAAATAATAATAAATATACAACTTAATTCTTATTCTGTGGTAAAAGTTAAAAAAAATTATATACCATCAAACCCGGATTAAATGTTGTGTTAAAGTGTAAGAATTGTTAAAATTATTTAGAAACTTTTTGAAATATCAGTAAATTGCAATCTTGGCAACCTCCTATAGTTTTTATATAATTTTCGTATTACTAAATGATACATAATTATTTTTGTTTAAATGAAATATGATAAGATAATTGATATGGTCAATACTCAAACAGCGAAATCACAGATGAAACGCTAAAAGTAGGACAACTAACAATTTGAGGAACTGTTACAATAAAATGTATTCAATTGTAGCACAAAAAATACCATAGCCAATAAAAAATACATAGGTAATGTAAAAAGCTATTCACATGATTTAAGAACTCTACGCACCCAATACGGACAGTCACCAACATTTCGGAAAGCAGGATTGACAAACAACCAGCTATATACTCTTATATAGAGTCTGTACTGGAGTCACCTTGAATTTTATATATTTCATTGATAACATAAAAGCAAACCCAAACTATACCTAGCAATAATTATAGTAATGTCACTAAACAAATAGTACATATCCTAACCGTACATTAACGAATTTACGAAGTAACGAAAAAGACTTAAAAATAATAGGTAATCTATATTGGAATCAATCAGCGGTGCTCCGAATAGGTGGAGAATATACAGATCAGTATATTCTAGAATATACAGATCAGTATAATGCAGTAACGGATACAAGAACATACCCAGGCGCAGATGTTCCATCGGATCACAACCTACTAGTGGCTAAATTAAAAATAAAGTTCAAAATGCTAAAAAGACCGTCAAAAGAAAAACCGACATCAATTTACTTAAACAAGAAAATATACAAAGTATGGTAAAGACTAAACTCAACGAGGAATGTGAAAGACTCCAAAGAGAGTTATCACCAACTACAGAAGGCTTATGGACTGAAGTCAAGAATGCTTTTACTAGCGCCGAGAAATATATAAAAGACACTAATAACAAAAGAAAATCTAAATCCTGGATGACACAAAAAATTCTGGGAATGATGGATACTCGAAGAGCCTACAAAAATAAAAATAATGAAAAATATAGGAGATACATCGTCAAATCAAGAAAGAAATAGCTACCGCAAAAGAAAATTGGATGATAGAAAACTGCCAAGAGATCGAAGAATTAATAAAGAAACACGACAGTCAAACGCTTCACAAAAAAATAAAAGATCTAGCTGGAATGACAAAACAAAGACTCCCTTGTAGATTAACAAATGACGAGAATGAAACGATATGGGAATTAAGCGATCTAAACAACGTATGGGGACATTACATAGAAGAACTATTCTCGGACACACCACTAAACAACATAATATATAAAAACCATGAAACCAGTCCTCCTATATTAAAACAAGAAGTAGAGAGAGCAATCAAAAACGCAAAAAATGGGAAAGCCCCTGGCCCCGATGACATACATACGGAAGTCATAAAGCTACTGGAAGAGAAACATTTAAATGTAATCGTCAAATTATTTAATCAAATATATACAAGCGGAGAAATTCCACAAGACTGGTTAAAATCAGTCTTTATTCCCCTTCCAAAAACTAAGGGAGCAAAGAAGTGTGGTGATTTCAGACTTATTAGTTTAATGTCGCATATGTTAAAGTTATTCTTGAAAGTTATTCACCAACGCATTTATAAGAAATATGAACAGGATATCAGTGATGAACAATTTGACTTCCGAAATGGATTTGGGACACGGGAAGCATTAACCAGTTTTATTATACTGCTGCAAAAATGTCGAGACCAAAAAAAGGATCTCTTTTTGTTTTATTGACTATCATAAGGCCTTCGACAAAGTAAAACATGATAAGCTGATGGATTGCCTTCACAAAAAGGAACTAGACGAGAACGATTTTAAAATTATCCAAACGCTGTATTTTAACCAAACTGCAGCAGTTAGAACAGAAGCCGGTGACACATAAATATTCAATATCAAGCGAGGTGTACGACAGGGGTGTGTATTGTCACCACTACTTTTCAATATATATTCGGAAGAAATCTTTGCACGAGCACTAGAGCAATCAAGAGAAGGTGTTAAAATTAACGGCAGAGTTCTAAATAATGTACGATACGCCGACGACACGGTCCTAATTGCAGAGAGCGCACAGGATCTCCAGACCTCAGCATTAACGTCAAGAAAACAAAAACAATGATTGTCTCCAAAACATCCATCCATCCACCCATGGCTTTAAACGTGAATGGTAACATTATCGAAAATATCGAGAAATTTCGATATCTATGGTGCTGGATAACGAAAGATATAGATCCAGACATAGAAATAAAATCGCGAATTGAACAAGCAAGAAATGCCTTTTTAAAAATGAAACAAATGTTTACGTCCCAAACACTCAATCTCAAAATCCGATACCGAATGCTGAAATGTTACGTTTACAGCACCTTACTATATGGAATGGAGGCCTGGACCTTCAAAATCAACTCACTCAGGCGTTTGGAAAGTTTTGAAATGTGGTTATTTCGAAGGATGCTGAAAGTCCCCTGGACAGCGCATATGAGCAACGAGCAGGTCCTACACAAGATGGGTACCGACAGAGAACTCTTAAAAATAATGAAAACACGGAAAACCTCATATTTGGGACACATATACAGAAATGAGAAATACCAGCTACTGCAGCTTCTTATAGAGGGGAAGTTAGAAGGAAAACGTGGTCCTGGTAGACGGCAGGCGTCCTGGTTGAAGAACATTCGTGAGTGGACTGGTTTGGATTCTCAATCTTTAATAAGAAAAGCCAGGGACAGAAATGATTTTGCTGAGGTTATCGCCAACCTTCATTGAAGACGGCACCCAAATAAGAAGATACAGATCAGGTCAAAATCTTAAGAGGAGTGAGACAAGAGTGCATAATTTCACCACTGATATTCAATATTTATTGTAGAACATATGGACTGGATATAAACACCAGCAAAACCAAGCTAATGATCATCAGCAAGGAAAACATAACTGAAGCAAATCTGTATGTGAACCAAATGACAATTGAACGTGTCTCACAATACAACTACTTTGAGAACTACAATCAATGAGTCGTGGGACAATATCCAAGAGATTAAATGTCGCATTGGAAAGACAAAAAGTGCATTCTCTGCTATGAGCTCTGTGTTCAAGAGAAATGACCTCACCCTAGAAATAAAAATAAGGCTCCTTAAATGTTACGTGTACTCAGTGCTTCTGTACGAAGTAGAAACGTGGACATTGAAGGCGGAAACTCTATCAAAACTTCAGGCTTTTGAGGTAGGGTTATACAGAAGGATCCTGAAGATAACATGGACAAACAAAGTCACCAATGAACAAGTGCCACGGGGGATGAACAAAATCGCGAATTTGGTCAACATCGTGAAGGGCCATAAGCAGTACTTGGGACATATAATGAAAAATCAAGGCAGATACGAACTACTCCAATGCATTTTGCAAGGTAAAATTGAAGGAAAAAGAGCCCTAGGACGAAGAAGAATATCCTGGCTTGCTAACCTGAGAACATGGTATATAAAGACCTCAACACAGCAACTATTTCGTATAGCAACCAACAAAGTCATCATAGCCAGAATGATCGTCAACGTTCGGAACAGACAGGCACCCTAAGAAGAAGAAGAAAAGGTTTCAGAAAACTACAGAACAGAAGATAAGGGTGATTAGAGAAGTGATGTAAGGACTTATTGGACGAATATCAACTCAAACAGGCAGTCCGGGCAATTTCTTTAAAAAATTAATAAACACAATTATTGATATACTCATTTTCTATCCTAAACTAAGAAAATGTTCATATTGATATATTATATATATTACATACCTTTACAGATGCAATTTAAGTGCCAAGTTGCGTTAAGTTATAGTGCGTTAGACTATACTTATTACGTAGATGATTTCAAAAAGATATTTCACAGAATGAAAATTAAGTAAATCGTGTTAAACATTTTAATATATATCTAAAATTATTATCTTATCGAATGGCTTACCTGTGCATATCGTTCGTGAGCTCTCTTGACGCTGACGAAAGGCCTTTCGTTTTTAACACTGGTGCTATAAGTAGACTTCAGTGTACTGTAAGTACTGTTAGATCCTGGAGTAGAGGTTCCGTTTTTGTGCATGGTGTTGATGTGTAGAGGAATAGTGTAATCTTCATCATCGTCGGCGAAAGCTGTGGTGTCGCTGGTATAGCCTAAAAATCGTATATGTAAGATATAAATGTAGGAAGAAAACAAGTCTCTTGGTTAAAAAACATTCGTGAATGGACTCAGATACCAAATGCAGGACAATTATTCCATATTACAGAAGATCGAGAAGCCTTCGCAATGGTGATCGCCAACGTCGGATAATTCTGATATGGGACGCGAAGAAGAAGAGGAAGATATAAAATATGAGTTAGACAAAAATACGTAAAACTTTACTGAAAGAAATATGTTCACAAGTTCATATTAGAACAACAATCCAAAAGAGCAGGTTACATTGATAGTACCTACATTATATTATTAAAATAACGTAAAATTTGTTTAATGGGTTATGCACAACAAAAACATTAAGATCAATACAAAATAAGTATACGGCCCGGAGTGAGACAAGGATGTATAATATCGCCACTGTTGCATAATGTATCCAAGGAATTTTGAACACCATCAAAAAAACTAGAATATTTTGGAAACGTTAAGAGGGATGCTAAATACAATTTACTGGAGTTAATATTCAAAGGAAAAATTGAAAGTAAACATATGTGTGTGTGTTTGAAAGATATGGCACGGAAACAAGTCCATCAGCCACATTTATGTTTTATTTATGTTTAAAGATATTTTTTTTGTTATTGTTTGGTACATTTTTTTAGATATATGTATAAATCACTGAAGTTATACTAATTTATATTTCTACTTTTACATCTTTAATAAAATTTATTAGCAATTCTAAGGTTTCTCTAATAGCAGTTGACAAAATGTGTGATAAACTTAATAACCGTTTAATAACCGTTTGAATTAATTTATTAGATATTTTAATATATGTGTTGCATCCAAAGAAAATATGCTTAAGATCTTCGTAAAAACTTAGATCACAACTACAGGATGGTACCGGTAATATGCCACAATATAAATGCGACGGGAATCGACCATGATTCGTTTTTAGGCGAAATACACTTGCTGAGATGAATTTGGTAGTCGAGTAATTAAATATGTATTGGGGTGGGAATGGTAAAGTGGGGTGTATCTGGAAATACGTATTTTGCGAGTTTTTAACAATATTCTTCCATTGCTGTTTCCATTTCAGCTTTATTTTATTTTTTGAGTGAAATATATCCCTTACTGTATAAATATTGCAAAAGACTCCATTCTGCACTGCTTTCTTAGCTATAGTATCAGCTTTTTCATTCCCTGGTATATCTACAAGGCCTCTCACCCAAATAAATGTTATATTTAAATTTGCAATCATGTTTTTTAAACAACATAACATAGGACACTTCATTCCTTCAAATTTTGTATTTCTTATAGAGTCTAATGTAGATTTAGACTCTGTTGATATTACTTCTTCGAGTATGTTATTGAATGTTACCAGGTAACACCTTTTATAATTGCAAAAAGCTCGGCAGGATAAATGCTACAAACAGGTGGTAATTTGTATATCATTGATTGGTTTGTATTTTGGATAAATACACCACAAGCAACACTTCCTTCGTGTAAATATAATAGTTTTGTTATAGGAATCACCTAGTATGGATTTTAGGGGAATGTGATTTATTTGATGAGATTCAGCATACTTGGGAATTATAAGTTATTTGTGTTTTGATTACAGATTTAAAAGGTATGGTGTACATGAATTGTAATTTGTTACTACCAAACACCTTTTCGACTCTATTTCTCTCGTAAATGCTTCTGCGGGTGGGAACGAGTTTTTTAGTTCCCAATACTGGTTTGTTAAGTCTTCTTTCACAATATGACTTAATGTATTGATCATGTTTGACTCCCAGGTTTTTAGTTTTAACAAATATTTTTGCAATAAAAACTGACGGCATAAATTCATTACATTCTGCCAGTATTGCATTCATTGGCGAGGATATCATCCCACCGATGCAAGTTCCAAGACATTTATATTGAACTCTATCTATTTTTTAAGGTTGGTATTACTTGAAGATCCGAATAAACAACATGCTTAGTCAATGATGGATCGCACATAGGCTCTATAGAATATTACAGTTATACTAGGGGTTGCGTCCCAACTTCGATTTGTTATGCACTTAAGCAAATTAAAACCTTTCTTGCATGATGAGGTTTTATTATGATAAATTAAAGATACTGTAATGCGGTTAAAGCTGTGAAAGCATAGGGAGACGTAGAATACCATGGCTGCGCAACCTGAGAGAATGAGCGCAAATGAACTTGTCAGAGCAGCCGTCTCTAAAGTCACAGTAACTATGATGATTGTCGACCTCCATCGTTGAGATACCACTTGAAGAAGAAGTGGATGAAATAGAAGAAGGATCTCATAGATCAATAATTCAAGAATCCGCGTCAATGGTACGAAGTTAATATCAGATCACTATTCTGAGAAGCAGAAGACAAAATGAAGATGATGCGTCTGATGGTCAACTTTGTAGGGGAACATGACACTTGAAAAAGAAGTGAACACATTTGCCAAGAAGTAATATTAAGCGCAAATAACGCCAATGCCATTGAACCTTTTAATAATAATATTATTAAATAACTGTAAAACATTATTTCATGATACTACTTATTCTCATAATTTTGGTCTTACCGTCAAGACGATGACTTGCAGTGGGGCGCATATGCCTGGATTGAATAGAGCGAAGTTCAGATAAAAGCCTGGTTTCATGTGGCTGTCGCTCTTCTCTCAAAATAAGTTCTCTTCGTTCTTTTAATTTCTGTTGTTGACGTTGAAGCCATGTTAAATTTGAACTGTTAGCATACCTGAAACAAAAACTATTATTAATATAGTGTTGAGAGATATCCCATAGTTTTTGCTGGGCCTCAGAATTATTTATTACCCGTATAATGCATTTAAATATTTTTGAATCAAACAGTTCGTTTAGAATAAAGCACAAAGATATGTAGATTATATAAATTGTATGAATTATGGAACAATAATTAATCGACTGTAAACATCTACTTTAAACAAAGCTTTCGCATTGACCAATGTTAACACAACAATGAAATATACTGAAATTTGATATTTTCAAATAATCTACAATCTCAGAAGTCAATTTCTGACCGACCAAAACGATTTTCTGAGTTGTTTTTTGATCTTATCTAGGACAACTGGATAATTTGAGCGACCCACGCATTACATGATCTACCTCTTAACTATCGGTTCCGAAGGAGCAGAGTCCGAATAACGTTTATCAAACCACTTTTCGTTTGATCATTTTTTTTTCTCAATACGTAGATTATTCTAATGATTTGAAAATTTCAAAACTAGCACAACTTTAACTACTGTAACTTGTAAACGTATTGACGAAGGACAAATTTTGATGTTTGAGGTATTATATACTTTCTAAAATATATCTATCTTGTTCTGTTACTAAGATTTTACGTTTTTTTTTTGTATGTGAGAGTAGAAATGAGCGTGAGTTGTATTAAGAGTAGAAGGATTACATCCTTTCCCCTTTTGGGGGATATTGTCTTCGGGTGCATCCATGGTACCTACTCTGCCTACCAACTAAAACCACTCTCGGCTTACGCACGTGGTACGTCTTTCCAGATCGTTCAATAGAGAGCTGCCTCCCATATCACTTTTGTGCGACAAATATCACAAATTGTGCGAAGTAGATGGCTCTCTTATAATTGCAATTGATCCACTTCTGCACATCCTGGATTCGCTTGTACACGTAGTCTTCTGTTCATTTTTCCATTCTTCTTGCAACATTATTATTGTTTCCCTTCTTTCTTCTTTCTTTTCCTGACTATTTTTGTCGCATGTTCTCGATCCTTCTCTTGCCTGCAGGTATATTGGTGGTACTACCGATATGACCTGCAGAGCTACAGTCGAGGCCGTCCGGTATACGTTTCCTTTGTGTTTTTCAAATTAATTCCAATTGCATAAAATTGTCCAGTGGACAGTGGACTTCTACGAGGATTTGTATTTTTTCTGCACTAGGTCCTCTTATGTTAGGCATTAATATTGCTAGTGCTGCAGATCTTTGATCAGCCTTAGTGGACATATATTTGACATGTTCACCAAAAATTCCCTTACAATCAAGCATGATGCCCATATATTTTACCTTTTTTACTGGAAATATTCTTTTCCCTTCGAGCATGAAGAAGATATGATCTCTGTCCCTCGGACCTATAAGTATGATTGCTTCTGTTTTTTGTAAAGCTAATTTTAGATCTCCATTTCTAATAAAATTTTAACTCTTTCCAGTACTGTATTTGCCGAGTTCATGATAAGCCAATTATTATTATATTCTACAAGTACTAACAAATCGTCTGCTTATGCCATCACCTGTATCCTTTCTCCTAGATCTTCTTCTAAAATATCGTTATATAAGATGTTTCACAATAGCGGTCCGAGAACAGAGCCCTGTGGCACACCCGACGATGTATCTATTAGATTGTTCGTGGCTATGCTTATTTATCTTTTTTGAAGCATTTCTTTACTAAATTTTGAAGATCTAGAGATACTTCCAAGTATCTTAATATATTTATTGTTGTTTTCCAAGTTGCACAATCAAAAGTATTCTTGATATCTAGAAAGAAGGCTATTACTCTTCCCACTGCGTTTATTACAGATTTCCCTTTCCTAACCCCATATTGGCGTTCAGATATTCCTCCTTTCTCCATTTTTAATTACGTAGTTCTAGAATCTCGCCCAATGTAAACTGCGAGGCATAAGTTAGGGATATAGCTGAATATTAAATAAACAATAATACAACAATTATACAATTGTATAAATCAATTAAGTCACTTATCTACATGAACAATCAACACTAGTTTTTTTATTCAGATACCTAAGTAATTAAATTAAATTATCACAAAAAATTATTAAAAAATCACTTGAAAAATCAAAAAATTACTGGGCGCTATTTTTTAACTAAAAATATCTGGGGGAAGTCAGTAGAAAAGGCGTATTATCTCGTGGTTATCGAAACTTTTACTGCGTCATGGCATTTAAGCAAAATAGCGACTTTTTAAATTCATTTCAATATTGTGAAAAAACTACGCATGATAGACAAAAACGTTCAACAGACGATTTTCTTTAAAATGTGATTTTCTAAATTAAAAAATGTTTATAAACAAAAAAGTTATTGCAAATTAAACCCGAAAGTAAGTAGGTTTTCAATGGTTTATAATTATTAAAATTAACAATAAAAACATTTAAAACACATTTCATAATGTGAGTTTTATGTAGTTACTACGTTGGCAAAAGATAGGCACAATCGGTCAAGTTGTTTTTAAAAAATTCTATTTGTTTATCCCCTTTGAGAGAACAACGGTCATTTTCAAATGGCTGTACAAGTGCTTTGACAATACTTATAATGTTTTTTTAGTTTGATTCTATTTATAAGGTTTCAAATTTCCATGTTTTTTAAAAACTATTTTAATAAGATTTTTTAATTGTTTATTTACAAAATAATTGATGCAGAATGAAGTACCATTACCATTATATTGACAATTTCCCTAACTTATGCCGCGCACTATATTTAGTAGAGATATTAATCTAAAAACCCCTGTTCGTCGATTTATTTTCAAGGTTTTGTAATGAGTAACAGGTTAGCCAGTTTTGAATGAGTAACATTTTACGCTAGTTCCGGGAATTATTGAGTGAAACATTTAATAAAAAATGTAAGTTGAAAGCCAATACGGCAAATGTGAAGTTCTTTGATTTTAATTTGCGGTTTAAACTGTTTAACACTGTTTAAAGGTGAAAGGTACACTGAATAATAATAGAAACAATAAAAGTTTCTCAAATATTTAACACATACGAAAGTATAGCTCTATTTTCGTTAACCTTGATTTGCGTATTCATGATTTGAAAATCTAAGAAACCTTTTTATGTCGGTCAAGTTTTTATACCAGTAGAAGAAAGAGGAGTTAAATATAGGCGCCAAGCACGATTTTCTGGTATTTTTATAGCTGCTGTTAATCTCTTAAATAAATGTTAATGTTTTTCCTGTTTACTAAATATATGGGAGATTTACAAATTAGTGTTAAAAACCGCATTAATCAACCTTTAAGGATGTTTGATTTCGTAAGCTGAGAGTTTTGTATAAGAGGAAATTCTTGCAAAACGAACGCGAGCATTTAAAAACTTGCGGATATTTATTTTACATTCTTCCAATTTCTGATAAATATTTATACTTTGTACACAACAAATATTACTAATCTTTAACGAAACATAAATAAATTCTACTTTTTATGGAGACAAACCAAATTTAGTTGGTAGATATTTAATAAAAAAATATACGGAAACACTATTTTTTTAACGTTTTTTAAGATTATTAACAACTCAGGATCGCTCTTTTAGTAACTACTAACTAACTCAATTATAGAATTTCAATACATGCATATTTATAAACCAATTGCTAACAAAATTTAGTAGGAAAAAAGTATTTGCCGTTTTCTGATTTGGTAACTTCCATCAAACTTATAAACTGATTGTCTTGACTCCAGAGACTGTTTACCGGGAGATATAATTGCAAATAATATTACTTTATCAATTTAAAATAATAAAACGACGAGTTGAATAGAATGTTTCTTGTTTGCTATAACGATGTGTACATGCTAACGTTTGAATTGGTAATGATATAAAAATGTTACAACCTATAAAAATGGATAACAAAATATCGAGAGGAGTAGTAAACCTCGTCTTGAATCTAAAAATATGCTATGAATACAAAGGAACGTCAAAAATTACACATTTAAAAACTAACTAATAAAATTTATTAAAATATAAGAAGATGAAACATGCCGTCCGCCCTAAACTACTGAAGTTCAAAATGAGGGTGTCGTTTGACATCGATGATCTAGCTAGCAGATCGGAAGTAGACACAATTTTCTTCACGCAGCGCTTGTATTCTCCAGTTTTGGTCCAGAGTTATCACTCTGACGATACCGTTCTCTCCAGGGTGCACTGATGTGATACGTCCAACTGACCATTGCAACGGTGGCAAATTGTCTTCAAGAATTAACACCAAAGCATCGACCTCTATTCCATTATCAGTAGCATTAACATTATTGCTGCTGATCGATTAAGATATTATTTATGCCATCGTTTCCGAAAGAGATATCTGAAAATTCGGTCTCCGGATAGCTTGTCATCGGACCAAAAATCAAAAAATGTCCAGCGGTAACGGGAAGAAGGTCATTAGGGTTAGACGACATAGGAAAAATAGGACGGGAATTGAATATCAACTCTATTTCAATAACGAAAGTTTCTAATTGTTCGTATGTTAATAAAGTATCCCCTACAGTGCCAATTAAATGATTTTTAAAGGACTTAAACGTCGCTTCCCATATTCTTCCAAAGTGGGGAGATTTGGGCCGTATAAAATGCCAAGCTTTTCAACATCCGAGTATATATTATATGAGTATGAGTAATGTTATGAGTATGAACGACCCGAATTATAACATTGGGTTTCGGAAACGAGTTTTTAAAAATTATTTATTTCGAAAATACAAATTTACAAAAGTTCTCAAACAAAAGTAAAGCAAAAGTCTTGAAGCAAAAGTTACCAGACAAAAGTTAAACAAAAGTTATCGTAATTGAAATGTTCCTCTATTTATATTATAGTATTGCGTAGTTTCTATTGTCCTACAATGTGCAGATTCTGTGGAATCCAGTGGCGTAACTCCTCCCTCACTGAGTCCCAAAAATAATGGAATTATTTTTGGGATGCTGGTTTGTGGAATCTTCTTCAATGCCGGAATCTTCTTGTAATTCTATTTCATGCTCGTTCCGTTGTTTTGAT